ACACCCACACCCACCTACACCCACACCCACCTACACCCACACCCACACCCCCACCCCCGCCTACACCCACACCCACCTACACCCACACCAACCTACACCCACACCCCCATCCCCACACCCACACCCACACTCAGTCACGACTGGGTACTCAGCCATTTGATCTTTAGTCCATTAGTCGAGTAGTACTTTCTTCTTTTCTAATATATTATCATACAGTGATTCTTAGGCTATTGAAGTACTAATATAAACTATAACATTGAATCCATTGGCTAATCATATATTTCTATGTATCAATCGTTACGAATTAGAATACTATAAATAAATTTCATGTCTTCATTAAACTTTTGCGAGCTATCTATTCAGGCATAGTTTTCGTTTATTATTATCTGTTGAGCTATTTCCTTTGCTATAGATAATCCTTCTAGATAATTGATTTCTATAACGGCTTGTTTTAGAAAAATGTTTCCTGTAAGATCGATATTGAAATGAAAAATAGAAAAAGCCTGATTCATTTTAATAAACATCAAAACAATTACGATTGACTCATGTATTAAATGAAAGCTTGAAATCAATCAAAATAGTACTAAATCAGAAATTTTAGTCATGAACGATTCGGTTTCGTATTTTGAATTTCAAAATGTATTTTTATTTGGCTGATAGTTCCTAGAAGAATTTTTAGAATATCTTGATTTCATTGGAGGTGAATACATGTCGAATCAAACAAAGCATGTCAGGATAGTCCTATTTATAGCTCAAATGCGGAACTCACATGAACATTGGTTTTAGTATATATACACATATTCTTATAATTATTTTGCAATACGTTACAATTCTCTTTAATGAAATATATTCTGATTCATCATCATCAAATAAATTAAATGTTTTAAGTATTTCGCATCACATGAATTACGGTGAAGTATTATTTGAGTTGCTAAATAAATAATTTATTTAGTCTATAGTCATCAATTGAATGAAATACTTACTAATTTTATGAAAATTTTTTCTAACTTATTTTATTTTTACTTTGATCATCATAATTACGCATTATTTTCTGAACTTTGTTTTCATCAACACGAAAACCTAATACTCGAAGTTCAACCTAAAATAAATATGAAGAAAAAAATGAAAACAAAAATCAAATATTTATATTTTAATTTCATAATAATCAAATTAATGATCTTTATAATTATGAAAAAATTGAAATCTCTCTTAATTTCATCATTTTCTTCTTCAGTTAAGTCACGACGTTGACCTTTTCATGCTTTTCTTGATAATAGAGAAAATGCAGGACTGGTAAAATAAAACAAGAAAAATTAATATTTTTTTTGTTTAATAAATAGATTTTTTGTGAAAACAAGAGCTCATTTTCTATCGATAGTTGTTTCGAATAACGTTTAAATTGAACAATTATTATTAAAAGTTGCCATCGATCAAAAGAAAAAAAAGACAAAATATGAGCGACAAATTTCCTACTAAGTATATAATATATATATAATTGGTTAGAAACTGACGTATGCTATTTTAATCTATTATTTTAATGTAATGTCATTATAATCAGTATATCAGCATGTCCTATGTAATAAGAAATCGATCGAAACATTATTTCAAACTCCATATAAGAAATTTAATAATTTGTTTATGTCTTTTTGATATTGATTAAGAAAGCTTGTTATATCCATTGATTATCTCATTATCTAATAATATTCATTGTTTTTGGCTATTGAGAAGAAAAATAGTCGGCTGATGCTTACGTTCCAAATATTTCTATTGTAGTCAATGATCATGAATAAATGTCATCATTTATGAATTATATACTAATTAATCTACACATTACTCTCATTTTAGCATTAAGACTTGCTCAACTATGATAACTGGCATGTGTTGTCCTCTTCGATTAAAATCAGTTCATGATAATATATTTTTCTTTTTTATAGATAAATAAACGAAAACTATACAACTATGGCTATAAATGTAGATGACAAAAAAGTTCTTAATGAATTTCAAAAACAATTACTTCTCAAGGAACTAGAACTGAAATTCGAACTCGAAAAACAAAAATTAATCGAAGAAACAAAAAGTCAACGATTTCAAGAACTCGAGGAAACAAAACGTCAACAATTACTTGAACTCGAGGAAACAAAACGTAAACGTGAACTTGAACAAATAACACAAGCTGAAGAAACAAAACGTCAACGAATACATGAAATGGAAGAAAAAAACGATTGAAGTTACAGCTTGAAATGGCTACATCGTCAATGATAAATGATCATTTATTGTTATCTCATAATTACTATTACAAAAAAAAATGTTGCCGATCATTTGCATTCGTTCAATATTCATGCTTTATTAAATGATAATGACCGCATTAATGATAATGCATTAACTAATGTTAAATATTACTTAGATAAATTTTCATTAAATTCAAAAGGAAGTGAAAACATAATTCAAGCAGGATTTGAGGAGTTAATTGTTGAATTGCTCAATAGATTCAATAATTCTACAATACCGAAATGCTTAAATACGTCTTCTAAATGTTATTTCGAACATAAGGTTCGTCCCGATTGTACATTTATATATAAAAATATAAATATCGACATTGAAAAAAAAAACATAAGTTTCTAGAAGATTTCGTTGTTTATGTCGGTGATTTAAAGGCATCAAACGTTTCTTTAACGAACACAAAAGCAATTGGGCAAATATCATAATATCCCAGGTCGAACGATACGGTCCGTAAACGACCGTTTACGGTTACCTTACGACGCATAAACGGACCGTATACGGCCGTAATATCGGGCACAGAAATACGGCCTTATCATAATGAGATTACGCCCCGTATACGGCCGTGTACTGTGGAAATACGGCCTCGAATACGATGCCGTTTTACTGTGCCCAAGATTACGAGTAAATACGGTCCGTTTACGGTGTCGTATGAAGCAAATTTACGGTGAAAATACGGATAGCCGTATCCATAGACCTGGGATTTGAAACTTCTTTTACATGCCCAACAACATCGAAAGATCTATGGTTTTTTATGTAAGTGTAAACGCATAAAGTTCTTTTATGTTGAAAAGAAAGATAATTCAAATTTGTATGAATATTTTCAAAGCCAAGAATCAGACATGTTCAATGATATGACTGAAACATCATCGTCTACTGGTATGTCAAGAAAAACAACAAAAAGTTCAAAAAAATTACGTTTTAATAAAGATACATGGAAAATATTTATTAAATTTTTAACAATGAATAATGAATTTTATGAATATACAACATTAGATATTGATGCTCATGATAATTTACTTGATGATCGATATACAATAAGAACAAGATTAGGAAATGGTTTTACATCAGTGGTTTATTTATTGACAAAAAAGAAAAAAAATTAAATCTTCAACTAAATATTTACAATATAATGTAGCAAAAATATCAAAAAAATGTTCATATTCAAAATTCTTTTTAAATGAATATAAAATAGCACAACAATTAAAAGAATTTATTGATTTAAATGAATCTAATAAATTTTTTCAAGATATTCCATATTTATCACCTTTAGGTAAAATTTATCTTTTGATTTTTGATTTATATTCTCAACATGTTTAAAACGTACTGATAAAAATAGAAATAAAAATATTGATTTCATAGAATGAAAAAAAAGAAATATAAAGACACAAAAGACTTTATGAGATAGTAAAAGTGTAGAATTCTTAGTTTTTCAACGTAATTTGTCTGAATGAAACGGCTTAGAAAAAACTTACTTATGATGATAGATGAAATGGGTGTGGGTGTGGGTGTGGATGTGGGCCTTGTCTTCATCTACACCCACACCCATACGCACACACCATCCACACGCACACGCACACTCACACCCACTCACCCACACCCATATGCACACACCACCCACACCCACACCCACACCCACACCCACACCCAC